CCCCGGAATTTTCAGGAAAGTCCACTTTCATCTCTAAAACTGTTAAATGTGCAGAATTTTTCAAAATTGTTTAGAAAAGAGATAGGGGGAAAAAAGTGATTGTTTCCGGTAAAATATAGTGTCCTATTATTATTCTTCTTTTTTTAATCGTCACAGGCCTATCTACCATCTCTGATAGGCTATTTTTGTCATGGCGGAACTGGTCTTAAAATAATCATTGAAAAAAAATATTTAGAAGCAAACTACCCCTTTAAGTAGTTTTTAAAGAAAAGATCATTTAACATCCAGCCATCCATCCATTATCTGAACCACTTAGTCAAAACATTTTCTGTGGTGGAATGAAAAATTTTAAAAATGATAAAGTACTTGGGCTTCATGAGCTCTGATCTGGACATACATCATTTTTGTTTTACATGCCTTAAATATGGAGGAGGTGTTGTCAGTGCCATTCCTGTGTTTAATATTGTGTTGAAGTCAAGATGGCGCCCGAGTAGGCAGCCGTAAGCAAGTGCTCTCATGAGCCTTGCTTTTTTTGTTGTTTTTGTGTTTGTTTTGTCACTTTGTGTTTGTTGTTACGTCGTGTGGACCTGATGTGGACTTTTTTCAGCATTTTTTGGCCACAACATTCATCAAGGAGGAGACTCTGTGCTTGGTGGTTGCGCCTTCTCGACTGCATGGGTATACCAGCACTGTTTTTGACTGGTAGGAATGTCGGCGCCAGTTGCTGGACAGTCCCGGGGCGCTTGTGTCTTGTGCCTGTAATGGGCAGCATTTTTCACAGCCCCGCTTTGTTCAGCGGAGAGATCGGTGCTGTTGAACGGTCTGCGGCTGGATGGATGCATGGCTTGAGGAGCCGACGATGAGAAGAAAGGAGCGTTAGCGCGGAGCGCCAATGCGGATTTGGAACTGGGAGTCGCGGATTATGTGGGACAGGAGAAGTGAACTATAAAACTCTTTTCGTCAATGGACGCTACAGCTTCGTGTTTGCTTTCAAAACTTAGCTTATAGCAGACGTGTGCACATTTTCAGCATGACGTCTCTGATCCACTGGTGAAAGGACACTTTGATCCTCTCCTCTTTCATCTATAACTGCTTCGGACAACAAAGTGTATGCAGAAAAGTGGTGAAGATTGCACGACTGTCTTGTGTCCTATGTGTTGTGTTATTTTTGTTCTTTTGACTTCAAAATGGTGCCGCGTGAGTGGCTGCCTTTCCAGCAGCTCCTAGATTTTGTTGTTCTACTTCTTCCTTTCATAACTTTGCTGCCGTGAAATGGGAATTTCTTGAAACCCAAACTGCTCCAAATGCTTGCCTTTCAACCTGATTGGTACCCGTTTCGTTCCTTCAGGTTTCTGCGTGCACTTGTGGCTTTCGCAGCAGTTGTTTTCAAACATTTAATCGTAAAATGTGTGTCGTTATTGAATCGACCTGTCAAACCTCAATGACTCTTACAATCAATGTATCAGCACACTACCATTCTTGTTTTTTTTTCCTGACAAATTTACAATTCAGTCATTTTGAACTTGTAATCTGTTTCAGATAAATCGTATTAACCATGCCAGGGAACAAGGCTGGAAAAATGACTTGATGTCAAGTATTGGAAGCCCAGAGAGGAAGGTACTTTTACGTCATATTTGCTTTTCATAATGTATGGGTCTCACTGTGGCATTTTTGTCGCTGATTTTCATATCTGGGGTTTGCCCTTTGAAGACTACATTTTATGTAAGTGTAGGTATCATTTACATGAACACCAAAAAGCTGCTGAGGGTTGACAAACAGGCAATTGTAAATCTGACAGAAAAATGAAGAGCCATCAGATCAACATTGTGTACCACAACCCAGAGGTCCCCAACCTTTTTTGCCCCACTGACCGGTTTAATGTCAGACAATATTTTCAGGCCTTTAAGGTGTGGCGGATAAGTACAACAAACTAATATGATATGACCTGCATAAAAACTGATATTTTCTCAACATACTAATAAACACGAATCATGACACGAGGAACATCCTATTTGGTCACAACACTCTCTGGTCCCTAAGGTAACGTTTAAACGTGCCTTCAAAATAAGATACACCGCAAATACAAAGTGCATGAAAAATGTGACTTACCATCGCTGCATATTATGCAGAGTGGGCTTGGTGCGTGGGAATCTCCCGTTGGGATAAATCCATATTTTAAGTAGGACTCCTGATACTCTCTATTAAATGTATCCTTCTTTGTCTTGAAAGTCGTAGGCTCCTCTTCTGTCTCCTCGCTTGGCCTTTCCGCCTTCCCAAAGAAACTTTCTAAAGACGTTTGTTTTTTTTGTTTTTTTTTACTCCTTTGACTAGCTCCCGGGTTTCATTTTCGCAGTAACCTAATCACGTGACCGAGAAGTGTGCCTTGACCTGCTTCGAGTGACATGGTGTAGATGGATGTAACATAGAATCCGGTAAATTTTCAAAATAAAACAGATTCCGAAACATAAAATGGAAGTACAGTGAAACTCCTCAACAACGAACTCATGTTTGCAGCAAGAAATTTTTCACAACAGGGGGTTTTTCGCTGTCGCAAATTTGATCTCAGATGTAAACACACACACACACACACACACACACACACACACACACACACACACACACACACACACACACAAACGTAAGTGTACTCTTTATTTTTATTCCAATAGTGCATAAGTATGAGCATACACTTATTTGACACTTCATGTAGTCAGTGTAGAAAGAAAAAAAGGGAAAGAAATTGCGAAATTTATGATCATAAATCACTTTCACTTACATCAATTTCTTGGATAATGTCTTTTATTTTGCTTCCCCCGTCTTTCATTTTGATCACTTTCACTCTCTCTTCCAGTGTCAGAGCTCTTGTCTTAGCTGCTTGACATCCAAAGATCCATTTTGTAGCCATTTTAGCAATGCAACGTCTTGCTGCGTCTGAAACTAACAATAACAAATACTTCCTGGACTACTGTGCATGTGTAAACCAGTGTGGTGGTTGCTCTTGCCATTTCCGAACAAAGCAGTAGAGGTCGCTGTTGGACTAGACTTCGTTGTAGTGAATCTCGTCGCGAGGCAAGAGCAGAGAAAAAGATTTCGTGTAACGCAGCAGGGGTTTTTTCGTTGTAGGGGGGGCAGGAAAGTGGGAATGGTGTTAATGCATGATTTTTTTCACACGAGGGGTATTTTTGCACATGTAGGTTTCGTTGTAGAGAACCCAGCCGCTGGGGAGCAGTGCCCTCCCCTGGGGGTGCACTGTTCCCCAGTGCCGGTCCCAAGCCCATAGAAATGGGGAGGGTTGCGTCAGGAATGGCATCCGGCGTAAAACTTTTGCCAAGACGACCATGCCAGTTGGTAGGACGGTTTACAGGGGCGGATGGAAATTACTGACTCGCTGTGGCGACCCCTGAATAGGGACGTGCCGAAAGGAGAAGAAGAAGAAGAAGGTTTCGTTGTAGAGGAGTTTCACTGTAATGTACCGTATTGGCCCGAATAATAAGACGGCCCTGATTTTTAGACAACAACCTCTTTTTTAAGACTCAAGTTTGAAAAAAATACTTTTTGAACACCAAATTAATTTTTATACAGAAAAGAATTACAGTACATCTGAAACCAATGATTATAACAATATATTTGAGAGAAAAGGCATGTTGTTTTGCCTCATTCAAATCTATAGTGCAATCACATTCGTAAATGAATGGCTTCTGGTTTTTGAAATGTACATTACATCATAACTTCTCCTCAGCTGCCGGTTAACCTGGCCGATCTTTGACCCACTTTTCTCCAGATTGTCGCTACGTTACTCCATTTTATGTTATCTCTTCGATTATTTTCTTCTTTTCTTTCTGACTGCTATTTTTTATTTTTCTTCTTCGAGCTCCCGCTATTTTTATTTTTATTCTTCGTGACAGAGGTTCACTTTGGCCTGGGGAGTCAAGTTCAGCATTCGTTTCAATGATATCTGGCACCATCTAGTGTCGTGAATGGGTATAATGTCTAGACCCCGAATACAAGACGACCCCCAGTTTTTCCGTCTTATTTCTATGCAAAAAACATCGTCTTATATTCGGGCCAATACGGTATATAGTTGTTTTTTTGGGGTTTTTTTTTTTTTTTTGCTCATGAACTTTACCAGGGGAAGGAAAAGGGGGAAGTTGACTCCAGCTCCTCCATTGAAAGAGTCCTGTTGCATAACAACAGAGAAAATCTGATTTAAATTTTTCTTCTGTCTGTTTTTTTTTTTTTTTTTTTTTTTGTAATTCACTGGTTGATTTTGCAATACCAATTCTGTTTAAAAAAAAAATGAAAAGGTGGCATGTAACATTGTCATTCAAAAGATTAATAGGCTACAAATTTGTTTTGATAATTATAATTAAAGCCCCCCCCTCACTGTCCATCTTTAAATCTTATTTTTATGCTTTTGTTTTGACTGCATGAGACTTGGTATTAGTTTTCCTGTTTTTTTGCATTTTACTGTCTTTGTTCTGAATTTGTTTCATTGTTTGTTATTGTATTATTTTTGCGCCATGTACTGCACTTTGTATACCGTATTCAGGGATGAGATTTTTCTGCTTTTTGGCGGAATTCCGCTTTTTCCAGTCACAATGGACCTTTTTTATATTGTTCCAAATCCATTGAGAAAATTTTAGGGGGGGATAGGGTCTGGTGTTATTTTTTCTGGGCTGCCCGACTTACTTGTCTTTGGCAGACTGGGACTCGTAATGTTTACAAATAACGTTTGCAAGCATCCATTTTGAATCCCGCTTTTTCTCGCGAAGCATTAGTTTGTCGTTACTTCGTCTATGGGCTAAAACCAATATCTTACTTGTTGTGATTGGTCGCTATATCGGCAAATGCAGAATCACAACCAATCCGTGTTCGCCTTCCGAAACCCCTTTCCCGCAAATTTTGAATGGTTTTGCACGAGGGATGTAGTGTATTGAAATTACTCGTGTATGTGGTCTGTATTAAACAAAATGCCGAATGTTATTGAGACTCATGACGAAGCTAAAGTGCGTCAGATAGATGCGGATCTGAAAAACAAGTTTCGATGGGACTGGTTGGATAGAAAGCTGACTGTGTCCCCAGTAGGAACCAGTATAGAGGAACAATTGTCTGTGCTTGTGTCGGATTTCATGAAAAAGATCGATGTCACTGGTAAAGCTCTGTGTACAGTGTGTGACGATGTCATTCTATACGGATCGAGAGGATGGAAAGCTTTACAGAGTCACGCAACCTCGGTGAAACACCGAAAACAGACATTTCTACTGAAAAGTAACTACTCGATCTCAAGCGCGGATGAATTGGGACACGGAGCAGAATAAAGCAAGGCTGGAGCATGTGAAAAAACAAGAGGAGTTGGAGAAAAAGAGAGTGAAAAAGACGGAGAGGACCAACAAGCTTTTAGCTCTTGCTAAAAAGCTTAAAATTAAGAGAAAATAAACATTTTACGTCATGAAACTGTACATAGTTGTATACTGTAAATAGACACCCGCTTTATAGGATAAAATGCATTCATAACCAATATAAAGTAATAATGATAATAAAAATAATACATTTTATTTGTGGGCGCCTTTCTAAACACTCAAGGCAAACAGTTTGGGACTTCACTATCACTGTATGAGGTAAGAATCAACAGCTTTTTATCAAATTTACACAACATTTTATGAATACAAGTAATGAACAAATCTTAAATATGGCAGGGAGTGTGTTTCCTTTTTTAGTTTTGATTTTGAGCATCAAATTTGAAGTTACATCTTGGTGCTCACCAGGAATGCATAAGCAAAATTGCACAAAGGCCTATGTCAAATTTTCACTTGAAAGAATAGTGAACAATCTATTGGTATTTTTTTTTTTTTCTGTGAAAGTTTCAAGTAGTGTGTACATTGAATACACAGTCTTTAGCATGTTTAGTATCAAGTGCCAATTTTGTAAGCAAATAGGGAATGGTCTTTCAACAAAAATTGTAACATTTTGTTGATAAAATTAATGGTTTGAAGGCTTTAAAATCTCTAAAACCCATTCGCTTCCGGGGGCCTGTGGCCCCCTAGTCCCCCATCCGGGGCGATGCCCCTGCACCCCACTGGGGGCCTATGGCCCCCAGAGCCCCGGCTGATTTTCAGATTTTTTTTCATCACCAGCCACTCTCATCCCTGCGTATTTTTCGCACTAAAAGGCGAACTGGATTATGAGGCACACCTTCAATGAATGGCCTATTTTGTAATTTTTTTCATTTACTGGATGCACCGCACTTAAGGACGCACATCATCCACTAGATGATGACTGCAATGCATCCACTAGATAGAGCTACGCTCAAGGAAATGCCAACAGAACTGTAGCAAGCCACTCGAAGCGCGCCTCAGCAGTCCATAGTCCGCTCCTCTCTGCTGTGCGTGCATGAGTGTGAACGCATGTGGTTCAACCAATCAGCGCCGACACAACCCATGTCACAGATCAAAGAAGCTTTGAACAAACGACAATAGCTAAAATAGATTAGCTGTTGAGTGGCGTTGCTACAGAATGATCAAATGTCAGTAAAACGTATTTATTAAAGCAGCGACACAGTTCATTTAACCAAGAGCAAGTTGTAACATTGACTCGTTAACATTGAACTCTCTTGTCGCTGTTCTATTTCCGTGTTCAACTGCGTAAGCTGATCGCCTTAAGTTTGAACTCTGGTTGTAAGCATGTCTCTAGCAAGGAGCTATTTTGGGGTCGACATATTACCGTAATAACCATACACAAGGCACATCGGATTTTAAGGCGCGCTATGAGCTTTTAAGAAGATGGAATGCTTTTAGGTGCGCCTTTTAGTGCGGAAAAGACGGTACAGTCATGGTTGTTTTAAAGTGCTCTATAACCACAGTTTAATTGAATTGGCTTTTGGCAGTCTCTCGTCTTCAGCTAACCTAACATGCTTGTTTTTGGAATGTGTGAGGCTGCCGAAGTATCAATAATAATAATAATAATGATGATGATTTATTTATTTTATTTAGCGAATGCAAAGTCCTTCAGCCATGCAGTTGCCTCTGGGTCAGCTGAGTGGAGGGTGGCTAGCCCTCCTCTCAGTTTTTGGAGAGGGCAAGCTTCGATGATGTGTTCCATTGTCTGCTCCTCTCCACAAGCGCACAGTGGGCTGGGGCAATTGCCCCATTTGTGGCGGCTGGCCAAGCAGGGGCCATGTCCAGTCCTGAACCTGTTGAGGGTTGACCATTGTCTCCGTGGAAGCTCGGTGCCAGAGACAGGATGGGTGGGGTCTGACACCAGATGTTTATTGCGGATCTCCTTGGAGTCCCATTCCTTTTTCCAAGCTGACTGGATGGTAAAGTCAGCTGGTGGGGGGTTCTTCCAGATGGGGCGTCTGGATGGGAGTCGGGCCGTGGGTGGGTTAAGGATGTCTTGATAAATAGGTAGGTGGGGTGAGACTTTGACATTTTGGAGCATCTTTTCGGTTGATGCTATTCGCCGAATGTGTGGGGGAGCAATGTTGGATAAGACAGGTA